ACCGGGATACCAATTCAACTAGCAGGCAATATAATAGACTCATAAACCTACGAACAGTACCCGAAACATCAAACTAGACATAGGCACGATAAACGGGGTCCGCTGGGACACCACGGGGAACGGGGGAACATCAAACGGGGAAGCCGGGGTCCCAAGGTGGGATAATTTCCAGCGGGTAGCCGGTGGGTGGGGGGCCACCCACCGGCTGCCCGCCGGTCTTTACTGTTCCGGGCAGCGGGTCGCCGGCGGGCAGCTGCCCGCCCGTCGGCTACCCGCTGCCGGGCGATGTTTCACGGCCGTGGGTAGGTGGCGGGACCCCCACCCCCCACCTACCCCCCCACTGACTCTTTTCACACACTTTATGCCCCGGGAGCCGTTGTGGAACCCGAAACCATGCTTAGACACTTTACAACGCAATTAACGACAACGCGTAGACAATTAACGAATCAAATACAAGAAACGAACGGCACATAACCTATCATGCTTTTCTAAATATAATCAACACCCAAACATGCGATTTCCCCACCCGATAATCCAAGAATAAGATCATACGATACAACCTAGGGTTCTAATCACTTTTATATCAACAAGAATACGGTTCATCTTCTAATTACAAGATTCGGTAAAAATAACACATAAACATCAAGAGCATCACACAATTATCAAGAACAACACATAATCATCAAGAACTCCATATAATCATCAAGAATCTCCCAATATCAAGATTATCAAGATCCTTCATGGGATCATCACGTCAAACATCAATAATCATCATCATATCACGCCAATACACAATAATATGGGGGAAACCCTAAGGGGGAATCATAGCTATGAAAATAGGTTTTGTTGAGACATGGGTTACCTCTTAGCCTTAATTAATTCCTTGGCTATGAAGGATCTTTCTTTAAGCTTTCTTGATTTCTTGATTTCTCCTAAGGGGATTCTTGGAACTCTTTGGGTGGTGAGAGATTATTGTGGTGGGGGATTCTAGGTGCCTCCTAAGTTCCCTATTTATATATTTAAGACTCCTAGTTAGGGCCTGAATGGTATGGGTTTACTAGTTCTATTCCTTATAGGGCTAGGGCTTGTTTTAGGGTAAGGGTCCATGGTCCATAGTGGACCATATTAATTAAAGAGGATCCTAATCATAATCTGAATAGTAAAAGGCCTACTTCCTTTATTCCTAACAGGCTTAAGATTCTTATTCGGGCAAGGGCCCACGGTTCATGGTGGACCTTACTAATTAATTAAAGGTAAACCTAACATAATTAAATCATATTTAATTATTATTAACGGGATTAATTAAATAATTAATCCGGGATTGAAGGCCGTAACACGGGGTGTTACAGTATCCTCCGTGATCTAGTGCTTTGATCACAAAGCCCGCACTAATCACGCCCAATATCTTCCGACACTGCTGCTTCGGATCTCACAACTCCGTGTGACAATCCAGGATTTCACAACTCCGTGTTACTTTCCTCCTTTCCCTTGTTTTGCTCCAAAACAACTTTTGCCTTGCTTCTAACTTTGAGACTCTGTTGATGATCTTCGTTGATGCGCTCAGTCTCTTGTAGTTAATGAAGATTCTAACACTCTTGGATATTTCTTTTGTAAGCTTTGTATCACTCTAAGTGTTCATCTCACAAAGAATATATCAATTTAAGCTCTTGAGAGGGAAAGCTTTCTTTGAGTTTTGTATGCTCTGTTTAGCTCTGTTTTTGCTTCTCTTGTTCGCCCCTTTTTTTCTGCTTTCCTCTGCTTCAATCTTCATCTATTTATAGCCGGTAATGAGAATCTGTCCGTTGGAAAGAAACATTCTCATTTTTGAATTTCATCTAGCTGTATAGCCTTTTCAGAGGATAAGATAACGTTGCAGATATGTCAGAGATTCTCTGCAAGTTGAGCTTGAAGTTTTTGCAAAAATGGCTTCCCAAAAACTTCATCTGGTGTAGATCACGCCTCTTGGGATTTTTATCTTCAAAATATAATCTTCAATTTATCCCATACTAGTTTAGACTAGTATTTTTGCTTCTGCAACTTCTTCTTGTATTTCCTCTGTACTTCTCGTCTGGGTCTGTAGACTGCTTCCAGACTTAGACTTCTTCTTCTTAATTGACTTGGGAAATCTCTTCCCATGTAAATTTCATCCCTTACTATATTTGGAAGTGAAATCTCATCCCTTCCTTGATTTCTCTTCCCATGTAAATTTCATCCCTTACTATATTTGGAAGTGAAATCTCATCCCTTCCTTGATTTTGCAATTGAAATCTCATCCCTTACTTGATTTGGAATTGAAACTTTATCCCTTGAATTGAAGCCCTTTGCAAATTTTATCCCTTGAATTGAAGCCCTTTGCAAATCTCATCCCATCAAATTGAAACTTCTGCCCCAATCCCTATATCAATTTTGAGATACTTCATCCCTTCAATTGGAATTGCATAGGCCAAACCATCGCCCATACTTCATCTGATGGATTTAAACTTGGCTTCTTTAAAATATATGGGATGTGAGATTCAAACCTATGACCTTGCATATAATATTTCAAGCCTCTTCCAACTCGTCCGTACAGCCTTTTGGTTATTATCTTGTTTCACTTGGTGTACTCCTTTCTTTCTATAGATGCTTGATCTTCAAGATAGCTTCATGCAAACTTCAAGTCACATTCTTTCTTCTTCGGGATTTCTTGAGGGATTTCTTCTTGATTTCTTGAGAGATTTCTTCTTGGATATTTTTGAGAGATTTCTTCTTTGGATGATAGTCTTCATAACTTGTATACATATTTTTCATATGCATACGTCTTCCTCTTTTGTTTGCCATTTTCACTAGGCAAATTCTTGATTTTAGGCTTTATATCTTCTTCATCCATTTCCTCAGCTAATGAATTTATTTTTCCCTTTCTTGGTCTATGACTCGACTAGTCTAACCAAAATAAAATTAGGGATCTACGATTTACAATAGGGCATATCAAAATCTATTACAATTTATTCCGAACACATGAACCCCTTAGGACTACTCTTAGTATGTGAATGAACACACGTAAGTTTATTTATACACCTCCCCCTTCCCAATGTGCTATTATGTGCTACGATGTGTTATGTGATGCATGATTCCCCAATTTGGTTGTGATCAAGTTGGCTATATGGGCAGTTGGATGGGTTGAGAATCATACCAACTGTTAACCAGGCCGGTTGCGATTGGTCAGGTATATAAATATTATATAGGGTTGCGGTCCACTATTTGGTTGCGATCAAACGTTTTACATGATCTGCGGTTCATTCTCCTGGCTGCGGTCAGTGATTCACTTCTTGGGCTACAGCCCACGGGCCGCGTGTGCGGATGGTCCATCGACTGGACGCGCCAGCGCTGTGTAGGGCCACTAGCCTGAGGAAGACCATAGCCCACTGAATGAGTGATCAGGCGGTGTGTAGGGCTATGGTCGGCTACGATCCACCGAGTGAAGGGTCAGCGGTGTGTAGGGTCGTAGTCTCCGAGGATCTTCGCCCACCGACTGAGTCCCTTAGCGGTGTGTAGGGCTTGATCCATTACGATCTACCGACTGTGCTCGTCAACGGTGCGTAGGGTCGTAGTCCCCAAAAGAGGATCACAGTCCACTGACTGAGCGCGTCAGCGGTGTGTAGGGCTATGATCCGCCGTCGGGCTTTCGGCGGTCTATACGTTTGGTTGCGATCAACCCCTTCATGCTTCGTTATGAGGTAGGGTGCTGCGGGGCCATGTTAGTGCTATACGCACTAACCCTCATGTTCGGGGCATGAGATTGGTCCCGTGGCGCCACCAAGGTGTGCATGTGTGATTTGAATGATGATGATTTGAATGATGACTTTAATGACGAATGAATGATGATTGAATGATGATGTGGATGATTTCAAAGTAAACTATGACCTTAGATACATGTTCTTTATGATGTTATCTCTATATAACTATTTATCATGATTGAATGTGCTTACCCCTACTTGCTGAGTCTATCCCTGATTTTAAAGCTAGAGTCCCCCTAAGTATATCTCTTCCTGCTTCAAAATGGTTTTCGTATATATATATATATATATATATATATATATATATATATATATATATATATATATATATATATATATATATATATATATATATATATACCTATATTGTATTTCAACGTGTTGGAGTGGGTTACCAGCATCATTCGCTGAACAGATATATTTGGCTTTCAGGCACAGATGAGTAGACACCGGAGCGCGCTAGAGATCCGGAGCGTAGATTAGTTAGTTTCCCTTTCAGCCTGTGTGCCATGATTATGTATTGACATTGCTTCGAGGTTGTTTAGTTAGTTTAGCCTTTGCATCTGAGTTTCCAGCTTAGATGTGGCATAGCACCCTACATTCCTATGTTGATTTTGGGATTTAATGAGAATTCACACTTATTATATAAGCTTTAAATGCTTCAAAAATTTTGGGGTGTTACAGTTGGTATCAGAGCCTAAGTTCGACCCTAGGGTAAGAATCTTAAGACCAGATCTTTAGAACATTAGGCTTAAAATCTAGGTGTTCAGTAGGATAGGATTCAGGAATCATAGGACGCGCGGTGAGAACGTGAAACCCCTAAACTTTCCCTCACATGAATCCACACCTAATTTAAAAAGAACTCCCCGTTCGCTTATCGCATCAAGGTAAGGGTACAATAACTCTGACTCGACATGTACTATGTACATTTAGCTCTATAGATTGGCATCATGGCACCAAACAGAAGACCATCAAGGACTCCGGAACCCGCCACACACGACCCCCTGGCTCAGACCCTGCAACAACTAACCCAAGTCGCCCAAATACTAAGCGACGTAGCTCTCCGCATCAACAGGCCACAACCACCTCTACAAAACGCATATACAGAGGTCGCCCGACAAGTTTCAAATCATCGACCACCCACCTTCTCTTGAGAGGAAGATCCCGCCACCCTTGAGGAATGGATTCGAACCTTCGACAAAATTCTGGGGTTGGTAGAATACCCAGAAGAGCGTCGTGTAGAGATAGCCTCGTTCTACTTCGGACACGAGGCAGACCTCTGGAGGATCCATGAGGGACCCACTTACAGACAGGAACCAGGATTCAACTGGGAAAGCCTAAAAACACGACTACGAGAAAGATTCTACCTAGCACACATAAGGGTATCCAGGCACGAAGAGTTCCTCCACCTAAAGCAAGGAACAACTACCGTCACGGAATACCATAAACGATTCCTCGAGCAAGCACGCTTCGCACCGGAGTTGGTCCCCACAGAGTCAACCAAGATAGAACGATTTATATCGGGCCTCAACTTCGAAGCCCGAAAAGCACTAGTGATAAGAGGACCCCGGACCCTCAACGAGGCTTACTCCAGTACCGCCAACCTCTACCGAATCCAACTACTACAACGAGGGATTCAGGAGCAGATACGAAAAAGGAACACAGGAGGTGGGGCACCTCCTATGAAAAGACTACGGAACGACGCTAACACCAGACCAAGTAATCCGGCCAGCAAAGGCCGCCCCATGGAAACAACGAAACTAGTACAAGGGGCTTCTCATGCCCAATGTGCAACAAGGACCACAGAGGCAAGGGCTGCATGGGAAATCCCTTGCGATGCTTCAACTGTGGAAAAGAAGGACACAAGTCCTTCCACTGCACTCAACCCTCAAACTCACGCCCCATAGCCATGGGCTAACGCGGAGGCTCGAACAATCAGGGAAATTACGGTGCCCCCGGAAAAGTATTCGTCATGAGCCGCACCCAAGCTGAACTCGAAAATGAGGACATCCTCGACGAGGAAAACACAGCCCCAGGAGACGAAAATCCCACTAACCGAACAGAAGAAAACCAAGAAGACGAGTTCTGTTTAGGATAGACTAATAAACCCCTTGTAACCACCCTCATAGTAAAGTTACTTGTTTAGTTTAACTACTTCGAAATTATTATGAATAAAATCAAAATAATTCAGCATAAAAAGAGGGACTAGACTACCCCAGGAACTCACATGCCACCAAAGTTCAACAAAGCAGACCGGTCAACCCTTCTACCACTAAAAGACAAAGAAGGAAAAAGTCAAAGGAAACCCACCCAAAAGGAGGCACAACAAGGGAGGCTAATGTCACCAATGGGAATTAAACCTTTGATCTTCCACTTATAAGACCAAATCCTTAACCACTAAACTATGAATGTTTCTTGAAACCTTAAGGGAACACTCCCTTCTTAAAACCCGCTAAAATCCCTAAAACCCACAAATCCCAAATCAAAAACCCTTATTCTTCCCCCAAACACACAAACTCTCTCTCTTTCTCCTCACCTCCACACCACGCCGCCGACACCACCCAAACACACCCCAACCGCCCCGCCAACAGCCACCGCCCAGCAACACCACCGGCGACCACCCGCACAACTCACCGCCACCACCCGGAAGCTGCCTGCGACGGACCCGCTGCCACCACCGCCCGGAGGACGCCCGTCTACCACCCAGTGCCACGCAACACCGTAACCCACACCGGCGAAAATCCCCACCAACGACACAGCCGCCTACACCGCCCGGGTTAGCCGCATCCTCGCCGTCCGAAAACAAGCAGGTCGTCGCCTCGTTGTCGGAAAATCCTCGCCGGAGTCCTGCTGGAAAAACAACACCGGAGAAGACACCACCTTGGAAAAAACCGCACAATGCCGAAAAAGCCCGTTGGTATCCGAACCCCGGATTGGAACGACGCCGATTACACGGTAATCGGAGGTAAAGCCCTCGAACCCGACCAATAATCTCCGGAGTTGGCCGATATGCTTAAATTTTAAGGACTCTTGGATACGTATCTCGCCATCAAAGGGGATACGTACCCCGAACTAGTGAAGGAGTTCTATCACCACTTAGTGGCCGTTAAACGGGGTGATAAAGTGGAGGTCACCACTAAAGTCCGGGGTAAGGAGATAGTACTCTCCGAAGGCCGCTTGGCCAAACTCCTAAAACTGACCACCACTGGTGTGTCGGATTACGACCGGAAGGGATGGATCGGTACCCAAGGCACGGGGTATATGGATTACCTCGGGTACCTACTAGGAAAGGAAGAAGGCTTCACCTCGGCCACCCGGCCAAACAAGAAATGGCTAACCGCTAAACAAAAGATACTAGTCATGATTGTGACCGATAGCTTGTTGCCCATGAACAACAAGAGCAAGGATGTGGGAAGTTTGGAGTGCACTTTTGCCTACTTCCTAAGACACAAAATCAAGTTCAATCTACTGGCCCTTATGTTGAAACACATATAGTTTTGCAAGACCAGCAACCGGCTTAGTCTACCTTATGGAATGATCCTAAGTTGGATCATGGAGAAAAAGGGAGTAGAGCTAAGCCACACGGAAATCAAACCCGTAAGCGGCATGATTTTCAATGCCCAGAACCTCCGCCGCAATGACATCTATTACACCGAAGTGGGACGATACATCACCCTCGAGGAGATTTGCCTTAAACCCGAAGAATAACGAAGGGAATTGGTTGATCAACTGGATATCTCCAACAAAAAGTTTAAACGGGCAATGCAAGAATGTGGGGGACTGGAGGGAAATGAGGAACAAGAGGAGGATAGCGAACCTAACCCACCGGCGTCCGCACAAGCAAGGGGAAACCCAAGGAACCAAAATTAAGAATCCATCAACGAGCGCATCCTCGCACAGCTCACCCGGCAGAACCAAATCATGGACTAAGGGTTCTCGTTCCTAATCCACGCAACACGCGCTTTAGATCAGAGGGTTGCAGCAATCGAGACCATATTGGGCCCTCGCGGGGCATCCAATTTAGGAGCAGGAAACTAAGGTAGACCCGAACTTTCCAATCACCACTTCATCAGAAATCCAATCTACCCTAGCAAGGACAACGCGTGGGGCCACGTTCCTAATCAGGAGGCTAAAATACGTGACGTCCAGGGGTGAAAAAATGGATCCACGCACCGGGTTCGGGGACGAAGCCTCTTGTAAGGGGGGGGGGAGTGTAACACCCCATGTTACGACCCCTGAACCAAATTAATTAATTAATTACTCACCCTAAAAAGGGGAATTAAAATCAATTAATTAGCTAAAAGAGTGTCCACCATAGTCCATGGGCCCTTATCCCTAAAGCCAATCCCCTAGTCCTATAGGAAATAGAATTAGCTAATGCATACCATTTAGACCCTAATTGGGACTCTTAGATATATAAATAGGGACATAGGAGGCACCTAGAACTCACACCACAATAACTTTCACCACACAAGAATTCCCAAGAATTCCCATAGGAGAAATCAAGAAAGAAGAAATATTAAAGAAAGACCCTTCATAGCCAAGGAAATTAATTAAGGCTAAGCGGTAACCCATGTCTCAACAAAACCTATTTTCCTTGCTATATTCTTTTTCTTTTGCTCCCTCTACATGCTCGTGCCTTGATGAATTCCTTTATGATATTCGTAATATTATCTTGCTGATTGATGTGGTGATTTTATCTGTGAACTTGATGATCTTGATGTTAAAAAGAGGTTCTTGATATTTATGTAATGATTCTTGATGATAAAGATAAAATATGATTTTGATGATTTGGATGGGATTAGAGCCCTAGGTTGGGTTGGGAATTTGTATTATGATGTTCTTGATTTATACTTGGGAGGGAATTCGCATGTTCGAGCGTTATTTATGTTTAGAAGTCATGTTAAGATGTGTTCAATGTGATTCTTGCTTTTGATCCATTAATTGCCTACGTGGTGTCGTTATTTACGTTTAAAAGTTTCTAAGCATGGTTTCGGGTTCCGCAAGGGATCCCGAGACGCGTATTTGATGAAAAGTGTAACACCCCCTAAAAACAAGCTAATTAAAGGCCTTAAACATGCAGATAACTGAGCTAAACAACAAACACAGCGGAAGACTGAAAGATAACTAGATAAACATAATTCGAAACATGGGGTGTTACGCCACGTTCACCAAAAGGATGAACGCAACGACAACATTTGCAAAGTTTACATCTAACCCATAGTCTCAAAGTGCTACATCTAAACTGGCACACAGGCCACAAAACAAAGTGGGAGAAGCTATACTAGCAAGCACTAGACCGTGCACTCGTCTAGACATCACCTGAAAGAACACAATAAATCATGGGACGACGCCCGGTTAGCGAATAATGCTGGTAACCCAGCAATACATGTGAAATAACATACATAGATAAGATATAAGTTGTAAATCCATTTTTGAAACGGAATACATAAGTATAAGTACAAAACCAAGAGCAATAGTCAACACAAGACTCAACACTCTCAACAAGGATACGGGGACACATCCCAAAACCACAAAGGATAAAGACAAGACTGATGGCAACACATGCCTAGGCAACACATGCCCTTGTGACTACACACGTCACAAGAAGAAAACTCACAACAACGGCTACACGAGCCCTCGTGACATCACCCATCACGAGTTGATATGCCTTCCTTATGCCTGGTTCCAACCTTATGGCTACCCCCAACCTTGTATCTTTTTCCAACCAGTACCTCCAGGACCCCTGTACTTCTTAGTCCAACCTTTTCCCTCCTGGGACCGTCGTCGCCCACCAACGAGACCACCAATTTCATAGTACACTAGGGTACCGTACACATACACGGCAACACATGCCACCCAAGAATCACGTGAACCTTACACAAAGGTCAGAACTCCATAATCACGTCACGGCCACCACGAGGACCGCTGCAATACCTTGGTGAATAGTGTCCCATACCACTAATCGTGCAATCCAAGTAAAGCCACACATACATCACACCTCAACAGGAATCAATCAACGGATCACAACGAAGATATGAAACCATACTCAATTAAGGAATGGATCACAGTCCAACAACAAAAACAATGAATAACACAAGTTATCATCAACCAACTGAAAGGTACAAACAACACACATGCTAGTATTTAAACACCGAACTAGCATGCTTATCAAACAGGTAAACCAAACGTAGTTCCGAAGAATGCACAAGACTCATCATGGTTCAACGAAACACAATGTTCAA